GACTTGGAGGACACAATTCAAGCTTCAGGGAGTTTGGGGGAACATAATTCAATCCACTACATTGGATTGAAGTGGGTGAGCCCCAAACCGCAGTCTCTCACATTCGAGCTTTAACTGTCCTCAGGGTCGTGTGGCCTGGGGAAAGAAAAATGTTACTGTTGTCAGGAGAAAAGACACAGCTCCTGCATCCGGGGGTCGATCTCACCCTGGTGGCATTTCTGCCTGATCTGCTAGTCTTTCTGCTTCTTCCTGTCCCTGCCCCATTTGGTGACTCCCGCTCCAGACGCTTTTCTTTTCTCTTTCTCTCCACAGCCTTTGCCCACCATGAAGCTCCCTTGCCTTCCTGCCTGTGGCCCAGCCAAAGTCCGGGTGAAACTTCTCAGGAAGGGCTCAGGTGGCTCCAGATCTGCCCAAAGGGGAAAAGGTCTGGATCTGGTGAGCTCTTCCTCCTGTCAGATCTTGATTCTTTGCCTTTTAAAATGACCTGGAGTCTGTGCTACTCACGGGAAGCACAGTGGGCTGATGGCCAAGGCCGAGCCCTGCACTCTCTGGACAGGAACCGGCTGCATCTCTGCTGCCCGGAGCCCAGAGCTGCCTCCACACCCCCGCTGCTGCTGGATCCTGAGCCTCTGCAAACGGAGGGGCTCCTGTTCGTCAATAGCACGAACCCGTGTTTGCGTGTATTGTTTCTACTGATAATGACACAGCTGCATGGTGGCCCAGGGGCTTTTCCCCCTTACCTTGATGTGGAGCCTGAGTTACCCAGTCCTGCTTAAAGGCTCGTCTATGTGGATGGTGGCATTTACTGAACACTTAACCTTGCACGTGGCTTTTGCCCCACAGAGGTCCCCACTCTGGGCACCTCCAGGAGGTGTAGGGCAGCCCTGAAGCCACAGCAGGGATTCTGTGCCCGGCTCTGAGCGCGGCTCGTTGTCCAGACACAGAGGACTCCCCAGAGCTGCACCTCTCAGAAGCCGTTCTTCCCTCCACAGGACACGGGGGATGAAGGAAACCTAATGACCATCCCCAGAGCAGCAGGAAGGGGTCTGTGTTCCAACGTTTGTCATTTGAAAAGATTCATGTTATTTGAAGTATCCTAAAGAGACCAGAAATAAAAAGCACATAGGCCAAAGATAACCTAAATCATGTATATATAAACATACATAGCTGTGGTTTTCTACTTCAGCAACAGAAAAGGATATAAATATGAAACTCACACACATATGAACTTAAATCTTGTTTGCATATATGACATTATAAATACATATGTGCATTTTGAAAAAAACCATCCCTAGCCCCACCCGAATGCAGCAGTAGCAGAGCAGATACTGTCTATTAGTTGATCCACGTGTTAGTCGTCCACCATGGTTTTGAAGTAAATATCAATGACATTCTCAGTTGCTCCAGCCATTCCCTTAGCCACGCAGGGGAAGGTCGGCAGATCTCTGGTGATGGACTCTGAAAATATGCAGGAGGCTTACTTTTGAGTTCTCTACGGAAATTCCCCCAACTCTTGAGAAAAATACAGTGGGTGGGTTGAGAGAGCAGCACGGCCCCTTACAACAGCAATGAAACTCTCCTTTGACAATGCCCCGTAGAAGGCAGTCCCTCTCAGTGTTCCAGCAGAGCGCAGCGCTGC